CTTTGTGTGGGTGGTTGGCGGGTGCTGTGGTGTGGTTTGCTGCTTCTTCTTTCCTATCAAACATCTCCTATCTCCCCTCCTTTTTTGTGTTTGTTACTCTCTTGTAACACTTTTAGTCTTCGGCACTTATATGACCTTATTGTTTTGCAAGTGCTGTAAAACACTTACTAAAACTAAACTCATTCCTTTGTGTCTACGGTTATCTTGCTGGTGGTTGGATGGAGCCACTGATAGGTCCTGCTTCTTTACTTTCCCTCTGTTGTTTCTGTCTGACTTACTTTTTCGCAGCAATAAATGAATGACCATTATCGCGTCGATGTGCTTCTCTTTGCTCAAACAATCAATCATTACCGTGAAGCGGCGTCTGTGGTGTAGCGGTCAGGCGCTTTGCGGTCGTACGCACGAGTCCAATTTTTTAGAAGAGAATTATTATCATTATTATTAGTATTTTTGGTGGAGTTTCTACTCGTTCGTCTGGGTGGGTTGTTGGCGGGGCCTCTGGTGTGGTTTGCTTCTTCTTTCCCATCAAACACATATCGTCCTTCTCTCCCCTTCTTTTTTATGTTTGTTACTCTCTTGTACATGTAACACCTCTAATCTTCTGACGCTCATATGACCGTAATGCCTTATGCAGTTGCGAGCGCCGTAAAACCTCTACTAAAACTAAAATTTTCGTCTGGGATGTTGTATCTCTCTCGGCCCAGGTTGGCCCGATCAGGAAGGGTTGAAGCCCGCCTCCTAAATGATCGAAGCCGTGTTGATGGGGACGTAAAAAAAAAACCCACTTACGTTTGTATTGTTGATGCACTACTTGTGTACTGCACCAATTTGTACCGTTATTGTGTTCATGGTGGGCTGCTCTTGACTGAATCATTCAATCTGATTTGGTGGGGTGATAAACCTCTAAACCTCTTTTCGTCGGTGGTTGGCGGGTGCCCTGGTGTGGTTTGCTTTTTCTTTCCTATCAAACATCTATCGTCTTTATCTCCCCTCCTTCTTTTTCGTGTTTGTTACTTTCTTGTAACACCTCTAATCTTCGGCACTTATATGACCTTATGGTGTTGCAAGTGTCGTAAAACACTTACTAAAACTTTTTTTAAACTCTCTTCGTAGGTGGTTTAATGTGCTCTGGTGTGGTCTGCTACTGCTCCTTTTTTATCATAGACCTATCGTCCTTAACTCCCCTCCTTTTTTGTGTTTGTAACACCTCTAATCTTCGGCATTTATATGACCTTATTGTGTTGTAAGTGCCGTAAACCTCTTATTAAAACAAAGAAGCTTTTTAAAAAAAAAACGTACGTTTCGCCTCGAGCCCCACTAGTTGGATTGACACCGGGTCACCAGCACAGTGGAGAGTCTTCACTGATGGTCTTAGTTCCAGTGCGCATTCTGGGTAGTAAAATTTGGCAGGTGCTCTGGTGTGGTTTGCTTTTTCTTTCACTTTCCTATCACACATCCATTGTCGATGTCTCACTTCATTCTTCTCGCCGTGTGTTACTCTCAAGAATCACATCTAGCCTTCGGCGTTTATGTGACCTAATTGTGCTGCAAGTGCCGTAGAACTTTCTGAAACTAAACTAGTGCCCGTTGCAAATTTTGTCAAATCCCCAACTTATACACTATACATTTGAAAGGGTAGTCAGTCGGGTTTTCGCTGCGTTATGCGATACGGTTGATGAAAACAACCAGTCAAAAGGCTATACTTGCGGGAGATCGGATTTTACGTTTGTGCGCTGGATATGACAGGCCCTAAACTAACAAGGGCTTCCTATTCACTTTATTATTTGTCGAAGCAAAGGAGAATCTTTATTGAGTATCTTGGTCTTTCTGCTGGGACGTCGAAGGCCTGTCCTTCTCACCCCGGGTTGTTCCTGACAGGCAGAGTCGAAACCGGGGTTCTAAATTATTATTATATCCAAATTCTGTCGATTGAGAGGTAAAACTCCTGCAAATTGAAACGAAAATCATACTTATCTTTGGTGGGTGTTGAAAACCCATTAAAACAGGGGGTAAAGAACAAAAACTCAGTGTTGTAGTGTTGGACACAGCGTCATTTCGTAACCCGACCGTAGTGAAAACCAGCTTTCGTTAAGAAATTTTAAGCCACTTACCACAGCACGGTTTAGGTTATCTGAACGACCTGTTTGAAGAAAAGTCTGACTTGGAAAAAATTAAGTGGATTCCGGGAGTTGCTTACTGTCTTTGTTGATCCCAGTTAATCCTCATTGTGGAAGTCGAGACGCAGCTGTCATTACACTGAACCGACAACAATAAAGGAGTAGTAGTACCGGTGGGCATTGCTCTGTCAATACAGACAACAGCGTTTGTTTAGTGTTTGTATCGGGCTACGGTACTGGTGTCGTTTCATTGGGTGTCATTGATTCTAAAGAGCAAAATCTTTATAAGAAAAAAGAAGTTATTCCGTTGACCTGGGATATGCGCCATACTAATGCTATTTTTATTATTATTATTATTATTATTATTATTATTATTATTATTATTATTATTATTATCGTCGTCATCATCATCATTTTCACTATTTTTACATTTTGGACCAAACTTTTTTTCCAGAAAACGAAACGTCTGTTGTACTGTAATAATTAAATTACGTTTTACAGGTTTTTAACGTCCTTATCAACACTATTAGCTTATTATAATATAAAAGCGGCACTTCCGAGTTTAACGTCCGTCTCCGAAAGGACAGAACTAAATAGAAAAGTCGTTTAAATTAAACCGCCTTTTCCAAGGACACAACTTCAGACCCCGAGTATGGGTCCGTAGTCTAACCACTAGACTACTGACGCCACCAGTTGCAGTAAAAAGCAAGGACATGCTTGATGGACTGCGTGTGGATCTTTGATCTTGAAGTATACTAGATCTACAGAAAAAGGCAGGAAAATATATTTTTTAAAAATATATAAGTACAGTACCTCTTTTGTGTCCCCCTGGGGAAAGTTGGGAACAACGAAACGTGGCGTCTGTGGCCCAGCGGTTAGGCTACCGGACTCGTAATCGTGAGGTTGAGGGGTCGGGGGTTCGAGCCGCGGTGCCGACGTTGTGTCCTTGGGAAAGGCACTTTACACGAATTTTCATCACTTCACCCAGGTGGAAATGGGTACCCAGCCATAGACAGCGAAAGATCTTGTCAGTATGTTTGTGTTTTAGCGCCTATAAATGGCTGCTTGCACTGTATGCTTCCCAGGAAGTTGAGTTTGTTTCAGAAGGCTCTCAGGTCTGCTGGGGTAATAGTATAGATTGTGAAGCGCACAGAGCTTGCTGTTGAGCGGGGATTTGCGCTATACAAATGCTATCTATTATCTATTATGTGCGGCAGCAGTCATACACAAAAAAAATCATACACAATTTCCCGATAGCCAACAGTCAATACACGACATACACTCCCTCACACAAACAGTTCTGGTGTCTGTTCGGTCGGAAATGCAGGCACAATACAATTATAACCCTGCCCACTCTACAGGTAAGGTTCGTGTTAGTAGCGTAAATTAAAAAAAAAAAGGCACCTATGATAAGCCCTATAATATCACACTTGATACGACAGTAAGCTATTCTTGGAAATGTGGCAGATCATCACAATTGCCTTCTTTATTTGTTGTTGTGTAGGAGCCCTAATAGATCGTAGGTTAACCTAATCGTCCCGTCCC